CTTGTTTTTGTTTTAATTTGTGGGAGGAGGTTGTTTTTCATTTTGTTTTGAAAAATGCAGAAGACATGAAGTCTCTTATGAATGAAGGAAAGTTCTGAATAATTGCCTTTTGCCTGCCCATGTCTTCAATGTACAGGATATAAGGCAGATGTCTCCTGAACTGCCAAATCATGACCCCAGACAATCCATTATAATAACTTTACACTGAGGGTCTCCTGTGAGCACCATGGCAAGTTGAGGTCCTGCTCATTAGCTGGACAATCTTGTAAGGGGAATCGCAGCTGGATGCTGGATCCAGACCAGCAAAATTTCTCCAGAAGAAGGAGAAATCATTGAGATTATCCATATGACTCTGGACAGCGACTACTTGTGAATAGACCATGGAAACTGCCGTTTTGCAGTCAGCTTATGAGTAGTGACACTGGGAGTCAAGATTTCATCAAGCTCACACTCTCAAAGCAGCCTTTTACGAAGCTTGACCAAGCCTTATTTTTAAATCTCTCTCTTTTTTTTTTTTTTGGATTTGGATTTGGATTATTAATTTGTTGTTTGTTTGTTTACTGGAGAGATTAAGACCCTTCGGACTTGCAAGGTTTTACCGTATTCATCGGGTGAGTTTCTTCCTCAGAGGACGATGGAGTAAATTCAATTTTAAAAGTTTTGAAAATCTATGATTTCTTGGCCTATACAGCAAAAGGATGCTTAATATATGGATTTTGGAAACCAATGGATTAAGAGGGCAGAGGGATTTGGAATTATAGCTTTGAATTAATTAAGATATTTTCTCATGAGAAAATGGTGACTGTTGTGGCTTTTTTACAATAAGGTGGTTTTGGTTGTTTTTACAATGAGACCTTGAAGGCTAGACACTAGAGGGAGTTAGAGGATAAAGAATATGAGCAGAGCAGAAATCTATATTGCAAACTTTTGAATATATCTCTATTAAGCTTCTTAATAGAATAGATAATTTGCTTGACAAGATGGACAGAACATGTTGTAATGAAGTTATAGAACAAGAACAAATTGCAAAGGATGTCTATGAAATTACTTGGAAGGGGAACTTAAATGTAATACAAATGATCTGATGGATGACTTATGCCCTAAATCTCTGAACTGTGTTTAAGTACCTTCATATTAATATGAAGGTATCTGTCAGGTTCAGCCCAAGAACAACAACAAGGCAGTCCAGTCCAGTCCAATTTCTTTATTAGCTTGCACCTAATAGACAGAATCTCACCAGACTAAACCTGTGCTAAAGCAACTAGTGGATATAACCCCATGAAACCCTAGGGAGGGGCCAGCCTCATCCTCTTTGTATTCCCACACTCTTGCTGCGGACTGAGGAGGCGCTTGCTCTGGAATGTTTCCCCTCCCTCCTGATAACCTTAATCCTCCATTCCAGTATCTTCCTTGCTCAAAGCCTTCTATTACAGCATCTAACCTGATTCAGCATCTCAAATGGATGCAAATATTTGATTGAATCTCCTTCAAAACAAATCATCCATTCAAAGTTTCACACAACCTTAGTAGAAATATAGTCAGCATGAAAAGACATGGTTCAAAAGCCTGTAATCTGTAATGCAAGGTCAGGCCTAATAGTAAGAGAACAGTGATCTCGTCTTTTAATTTTTTGACTAGTGAAACTAGCAAAAAATTAAAAGACGAGAACAGGAACAAAAATGTTCCTAAAACAATATTTTGTTTACTATTGATCCACTGAATTTTCAAACAGTAACTAGCAATGGAGACATATCCACTCTAGCAAGCTCTTTGGCCCTGAAGATATCTTTTGCCTTAAGTGCTGGTTGTAGTGAGGCCAACCTAAGGAGGCAGCTCTGTCATACATACAGGTCCCAATGTGATAGGATCAAGTTCAGTATACTTATCTTTTTTTCCTGGCCCAGTGCGTTTATCACCCTTTCATTTGCATAATCTTTTTACTCTCTTTGCTTGATAGACCCATTCCCTTCTATATTCAAGTGTCTAGTTTGCTTTTTTGCTTTTCTATCCTATTCATTCATTCACTCACTCACTCACTCACTCAATTTCTGTTCCTGCCTGTCTCAAATTCATGACTCTTGGTGGCTGACAACAATGTTACCTTTCATATGACCATTGCATGCTGGCTATACTTGAGTTTTCCTGAGTGGGACTTCTTAAACCCTTCCTTGCTATTACCTAGGGCATTCCTTGTTTGGAAATGCTAATTCTTCATCTCCATCTTTCTGTAACACAAGTATTGGTATTAGACATTGTATACTGGTTCATGTGCTAGGGAATATGTAGCATTCTTTTTTTTAAAAAAACATTTGCAGTATGGTGAAATAAAGCTTTGTTCATTCTTTGTATTTACTTTCAACTGATTCTCCCCCTTTTTGAAGTAGCTGTTTCCCTTTTCTGCTGGAGTATTGAATCTCCTGTGTGCTTACTACACCTTTTTTTCATGCGTATCATGAAAGGTTTGCCTGCTTCACTCTGTTTTACTCCCAAATGGATAGCCCATTGTTTTTCTCCAATACATGACTACTTTCTGATTGTCAAGCAGAATGCTTCTGCATGCATAATCTAATATGCATACAGCAGTGTCTATTCTGGATGCATAATCCAGAGAGAAGTATAACCAGCAAGCAATTTTGTGATTGGTGATTTATGTTTGATGAAGGATTATGTATTCATTTTTATTGTTGTTTTGCTACTAAAGCCACTGTAATGCTGCTGCCTCTGCTGCTTGATGAACAGAGAATTGTGATATGTTATGGCTGCACTAACCCTTGATTATTGATTGCCCTAATTAGTGGGATAATAGGATTATTTTGATACACTTTAATTTTCATTCATGTGCTTGACCATGTAAGTGTGAGTTGCTCCAGGGATTTTAATGCAACAATTTGCTTGCATTTAAAACAGGGATAAGTAAGAGTAATGGTGCCCTGAGGTACAAAGTCTGGGAAAAGGAAGGAATTTTTAAATTTTTATAAGGAAAACTATCATGATAGCAGTTCAATAGAGTCCCTAGATAAAGAAGCAGGTGGCAAATGACTATAAGAGCAGTTGTATTTGAACAAATTCAGCCTTCTTATTTGAAATGTTGAATTGTCTTCTGAAAACTATTATATAAAATTTCCTTTGCTGAGTATTTATGCTTCCTTTCACAGTAGTTTATTGATGGATATTGTGTATGCCAACCTGAATATATTAAAAAGAAAAAAGAAAAATAATTACTGTCTTATTGGACTTTATAAATTTCAAATGTAGATCACTGTTCCATTCTATAAATTTTAATGCTATATGTGACATTTGTTACGCTTTGGCTGTACATGATCCTATATTTTGTGACAAAGCCTGGTTTTCAGTTTTAAAACATATTTTTCAAATAGTGCAAGAGCTGCATGTTGGGGTGGGGACCCAATATCTCTCTTACACAGTACATCTCTTGCTATTGTGGTAGACATACAAAATACTATTGCTTGGAAGTCATGAGTACCATTAGGTGTTCACCTATCATAGTTAGGCATGTAAGTTTACAGTTAGATATATATAAGCTTTTGCGATACCCAGTTCCCTAAAAAAGCTGTTGGGGTATGTGTATGCAGTCTTGTCAATAATGATTAGCTACTGGAAAGGAGCAAAGGACTATTTACTGTCTCCTGGTCATTGAATATGGGGAGGGGGGGGGAGATGGGTAGATCCATTTAACTTAGTGCTTTTTTTTAGTATGTTTGGAAGAAGCACTCCAAGTTTTCAGAGAAAAAAAATTAACCTTTCCTAAGTGGAAATGTCACACAGCACTTTCCCGAATTCACTGATACACATTATTGTGTATTTGGCCTGAGTAATGCATAAACAGCTGGATTGAATCTATTATTTGCATATTTTTCCTCTCCTTTTGTGTTTAATTTTGTGAACTTGGTTGCAAGATCATGAAACAAAACTGAATAAATTAAGAAATGTTGATTGGAAACATCTTTTCATGATTATAATAAAAAGCAGAACATGTTTTGGAAGATTACAATAAAAAGTCTAATGCAAAGCTTAAAACTATATTCTGCTCCTCCTTTTGATATTTTAACTCCCCTCCTTATTCATTTTATCTTCTTCTGACTAAAAAAAATCTTAATAAACTTCACTTGTGGAAACAATTGTTAAAGAAAATAAGTTTCAGTATTTGAAATACGGTAAGAGTAAAACCAAAAATAGGTTATCTTTAGTATTCAAACTTCCTAGGAAATCTTAGTCACAATAGCTAATAATATGTATCAAGAATAGAAATCTAATTAAAATCTACTTACTGTTGAAAGATACACATTTGAAGCTGGAAAAGATGGCAAGCTACACATTAAAGCAATGCAAGTAAGGATTGCAAAAGTCCATGGAAACATGAATAGGAAGGCCACTAATGCATCGCCAAAAAGAGAGAAAGCATGAACAAAAAAAGGACAAAAGACTTAATAGATTTGCATATATTTTAGTATACATAAATGCAAACATCAAAATTGTTTCTTCATGTAGGTAAAAATACAATTAATCTCACCAGAATTGAGGGTGGGTTTTTTTTATGTTTCTCAGTCTGGTATCCAGGCCTTTGCTGTCCTTCCTCTTATTCCTTACTTTTGAACTGGATAATCCTTTAAATTGAAGACTGACTTAGGACTTTAGAACACTTACTAGGTAGTTTCTTTTTTTTTCCTATCTGCCTTATTTCACGACTGCCTAATTAAGGAACAAAGGGCTCTACAATGCTGAACCTGAGAATTCTTGGCATGGGATGATGATTTCCCATATTGCAGCTATCCAACAGTTTCTCATGTTGTACAGTCTCTTTAACACAGACTTTATATTACCTCACATAATATCTTTGGATTCATTGTTGCAGGTGATGTTTGGAGGTAACATGAAGGGGGGTTCTTCTTTCCCTCCAAAATGCCAACAACATTACGAATTAGCATCCTTGGAACTTTTGACTTACCCAAATATATCATCTCTTCCACATCTGCATCTAGGTTCAAAGAATCAAGAGTTTGGAAGGGACCCTAGAAGTCATCCAGACCAATCCCTACACAGTGCAGGATCTGTTAAAGCATCTCTAACAATTCAGCCTGTGTTTTAAGACCTCTAAAAAGTAAGGATCACATATGAGAAAAATAAATGAAAAGTTTTTAAAAAATAGTTGAATAATCTTTTAGGGTAGTAATATGGCATGCATTAACAACAAATCTGTATTCTTTTTGTGTTTCTGTAGATGTACACATTTGGGACTATGCACCACAAGCCAAATTTGGAGAAGTTGTAGAGTCTGGAAAGAAATCAAGGGCATAGATTCCTGTTATTCTAACTAGCACAACACCAAAAGGCAGGATAGTAATTTTCCATTCAGTTCAGTCCTTATAACTTCAGAAAATGTAGCAAGTTGACTTTTTATTTTGGTATATTTTACTCTGAACTTGCTCTGTGGATGTTTTTACCTTTTACTTAGCGTTCCTTGATAAAGTGAGCAATTCTGCAATGGTTTGCCTAAACTAGAATTGAGCCAAATGCTGTATTTATCTATTTGTTACTGCAGTGTAATGTTTGTGCTTTGCATTTGACCTCTTCTTAACCAATTAGGTCAGAGGCCTGGCTTTGCTATTGTGTATTGGAAAGAAGACAATTTTAGCTAATGTGGTTACAGTTGCTATGAAAGGGAGGCTTCAAGCTAATGGTTTTAAAAAGACTAGAAGGAGCAGCTGCCCTTTGTTTACATAGATACCAAGCAGGCAGGTAGTGTTAAAGAAAAAGCCATTTGGATTGGTCCAGGGATCAAAAACTAAATAGTGTTTGGAAGGTCTATGAAGACCTGGATTTGTCAGAACTTCCAAACGGGGGTTTGGGTTGGGTTTTTCAGAGAATAGATGGAGGTTGTCAGTTGTTAAAGGGAGTAGAAGATGTGATGGAAGAGTGAGGTGCCCAATTTGAAAGAATGTAGAGGAGTCGTTTGTGGCTTCAAGGAACAAGAAACTGTATTATGGGATTGGATTAAAGTTTCCAACAGACTGCAAAACGTAGCATCAAAAGGTTTTAGGTCTAAGCATAGGGATCTAATGATCAATAATCTGTATATGACTCTGGAAGTCTCTGTTAAAGTTGTGAGCACAGTGTTAATTAAACGTACTTAAAGTACATTTCAATAACCTTAATGTACTATATGAAAAGTGACATTTCATGTCATTGTGCCATCACAAAAGGAAATTAGGCATTGAGATTCTAAGTTTCAAAAGACTTGATTTAGTGGCATCATTTAGGCTGCATTGCTTAAATGTGACTTCAGTTTGAGACTGTATCTTTTAAAACATGGCATTTCAGTTCCAAGGAAGCCACCTTCAAAATTAAAAAAAGAAAAGAAAAAAGGAAGGGAACATTGGTAGAATATGTACATTGTTCCATCACAATTTTTATGAATCTGGATGTAACCATAGGATAAGTCCATCTCCTAAGCTATGGTTGGGCATGCTTTTTCTATCCAGGGCTTTTACTTTCCTTGTTTTTATTTTGGGGCTTCAAAAGTAAAATGTTGACAACAGTGAAGTGTGTAGGACTGACAATCCTTGGATTCTTAAAACTTGGGTTTTTTTAAAAAAAGAAAACAACAATATAGGTCTGTTAATATTCTCAGAGGCTTACTACAGCTATTTTAAGCCTTATGTGGTAAACATAAGAGAAGACTCACACTGCCTAAAACAGCTCTGTTGCCTCCAGATTTCACCAATGCAATGTTTGAGATCCTTGATGCATGACTAAATTTATCCACATATACACTTACTGGCTACTAGGTGTAATAGATGTAGATAAAGTTGGTGCACCCCCTCCTCAAGAAACCCTCCCTGGATCCTACTGTACTGGACAATTTTCGTCCAGTCTCCCACCTCCCCATTTTGGGGAAGGTGGTTGAGAAAGTGGTGCCATCACAGCTCCAAAGGGTTCTAGAGGAAATGGATTATCTGGACCCTTTTCAGTCAGGTTTCAGGCCCAGATATGGAACAGAAACAGCATTGGTCGCACTTATGGATGATCTCTGGTGGGAGCGGGATGGTGGAAATGCGACCATCCTTGTTCTCCTTGATCTCTCAGCAGCTTTCAATACCATTGACCATGGTATCCTTTTGGGACGACTCAGGGAATTGGGGGTGGGTGGCATGGTTCTGTGGTGGTTCACCTCCTTTCTCCAGGGCCGATCCCAATCGGTGGTGATAGGAAGCGAGAGGTCCCATCTCCAACCCCTCTCTGTGGAGTGCCACAGGGTTCAGTTCTCTCTCCGCTCCTTTTCAACATCTACTTGAAACCAGTGGGTAAGATCATCCACCATCATGGGACGAGATATCATCAGTATGCTGATGATACTCAATTATACATCTCCATCCCAGGTGAGGTAAGTGATGCTGTGCCCCGCCTTTCGCAGTGCCTGGTGGCTGTAAGGGTCTGGATGGGAAACAACAGGCTTCAGCTGAACCCTGGTAAGATGGAGTGGCTGTGGGTTAATGGCTCCTCTATATCCAGGACTTTGTCATCTTTGGTGCTAGATGGGGTAACAGTGCCCCAAACAGACCCAGGGCATCTTCTGGGGGTCCTCCTGGATTCATGGCTCCTGCTCGAAAAGCAGGTGGCAGCCATGGCCAGGAGGGCCTTTGCACAACTTCAGGTTGTGCATCAGTTACACTCTTTCCTGGATCAGGATGCCCTTTGAACAGGCACTCATGCCCTTGTTATCTCCCATATAGACTACTGCAATGTGATCTACATGGGGCTACCCTTGAAGAGTATCCAGAAGCTACAGCTGGTCCAGAATGCAACTGCATGGGCTATTTTTGGAGCCCCAAGAAGGGCTCATGTAATACCATTGCTCCACGAGCTGCATTGGGTACCAGTTTGCTTCCGGGTCCAATTCAAGG